CTCCTCAATTATACTATTTTTAACTAAGATAAAATTAACTTAAGTTCATGTTTTAATTATCTGAAAAATCAATCCAAACAATACTATTTGAATTTAATTAATAATTTAACTCATTTAAACTAGATTATGTCTTTTATAATACAAAAGAATTATTATGGTTTGGATAGATATTGGCTGATGAAGCTAATTGACAATGAAATCTATTAAAAATATTTTTAGGAAAAGAAAATAGAGAATCCTAATTTAATTAATCGTAAAGGAGAGTAAATCAAAAGCTAAAATAACTTTAGTAAAATAAAATATTCTGCAAACAAAGATTGAAATAAAAATGAGAGGATGTACATTAGATACTTTATGCGCTTTGTGATCTTATGAGACCCCTTAATTGTATTTTATATGAGTTTTAATTTCGTTACATTCAAAATAATTATCAAAGAAAAGGAATTTACTTGTAGACTTCAATTTCTAATCTAATTAACTAATAATATCCTTGTGATTTAAAATTATTAAAAGGCGTATTAAATACGCACTGCAGTTGTTTATTAATAAGGTTAGAGCTCATTTACTCCTAAATCCTCTTTTGAATTTTTTGCGCTAATAGTTTCTAATCCTTAACCCTCAGGTAAGATAAATAGCATTAATAATTTGCTAATCTCCTTATTTCTCAAGTCTAGTTACTTGCTGGGGTTTTGGCTCAAGTTAATATTATTCTAATTTCCTTTAACAATTCCTTCATAATTATAGTTTCCAAATTATTATGGAGTATTAGTTGTACACAAAAATACTGACTTAATTTTGAATTTCTCTTTAATGAACCATTTTTTGAGACCTTATTGTCAAAATCCAGAAAGTCTTGAAATTACAAATTCATTAATTAAAGATTTTTCAAATAATAGTATATTCCTCTAAACACTTATTTAAAATTTCGAATCTAATATTTAGAATTCCTGTAATTTATTATTACTTTTTCAATTGACTTCGTTCCTTAGCATTAACCTCTTATAATAGTTTACATCTTCTAAGATCATTTAAGTTTGCTGTCATTTCAATTTTTTTGAATATAAATATATCATCTTGTATGAATAAGAGCTTCTTTCTTTATCAACATCACAATTAAATACTTTCAAAATAATTAATATTCACTTCAGATTAAATTTCCTTATAATTTCTGAAAGGTAGCTATTTATGTGCCATATTTAGGTTCGATGCTCAGTTTAAAGACAGTTAAACAAAAATAGGGAAGACTCAATAATTATGAAAATAAATAATTCTCCCCTGTAATAGAAGAAACTCGCTATTAAATTTTTAGAAGTTCCTTACTATATTCTAAATTTATTAGAATTTGGCTAGTAGGATAATAGTAATAAAATATTCCACAATAAAGAGAATTATGCTATTGTCAGATTAATCAAAAATGAAAGAAATTGTCAAATTTTTATGTTGTTAAATCAAATAATCGCACATTTATTTTCAATATGAATTATTGCTTTTGTAATCCTTTTCGACAAAATTGAAATAATATGTGAAAATATGTAGATTGAATAAAAATGTTTAAAAATAATGATTCCTTCTTTTTATACTTATAGTTAATCTGATTAATTAATCCGACTAACTTGATTTCTGAAAAATAATATCATTTACTTAAACACTCCAATTTTAATTTTCGATTATAATTTGTATATAGAAACTAGGCTAAATGTTGATTGATTAGTAGCTTTTGTATATTTAGTGAAATTATCTTTAGTTTGAGCATTCCCTTTTCTAAATATGTTAATTTGTTAACATTAATTTTCTAAGCAGCCTTTTGAATTATTTCTCATGATAATTACTCTAAGACCAATAACATAGTTTAGAAAAATAATTATTTCAATTTTTCTTGTTTAAATTTTAAATGAAGACCATCAGTCTTTCACTTAAGTAATAGAAATTTAAAATTGTCTCTATTATTATTAGTTTAGATATTTGTTTTGAAGCAGTAACAAAATAATTAATAATTAATCTGAGATCTTTTTTGACTATTGTTTATTCTGGAAATTTGTAATTTCATTCATTAAGTTTTCCTGTTGGTTCTCATTATGCATTTTATAATTCATATTTCCAAAAAAGTAAGCAATCATATTTGATCAACAGCCATAATGACCTTCTCATAATTATCTTGTTGAAAGATATACTTTTACCAAATCTATACCTGATAAACCACATGTTAAACCTGATTCATTTAAATAGAGATCAATAAGGAAAGGAATTCATATTGAATCAGGCTTAAATGAAATCGTCACTTACCTACTTATTTAATTCTAAAGGAATGTCAATCAATTTTAGTAGTAGTTTTTTTTAATATTTCTTGTTAAGTTATTATATAATTGACCAATTTGATTATGGTTATTTAAATCAGCTTATTGAATCAAATTGATGTAGTCAATATACTGCTAGACATTAATGAGCAATATTACAACTTAAGGAAAAAAAAATGAATTATTTGACCCTTGAAATTTTAGAATAAATAATCATTTATCGATTTTTAGTTGAATAGTTTGCGTTATAGCCTCAAAATTGACAGTCAATTAAATTGTAAGCCAAAAATAAATTTTTTAAATTGTTGATGTTGATTTCCTCTATTTTTGTTTAACAAGATTCAAGTTTGCAATTANAATTAATATTCACTTCAGATTAAATTTCCTTATAATTTCTGAAAGGTAGCTATTTATGTGCCATATTTAGGTTCGATGCTCAGTTTAAAGACAGTTAAACAAAAATAGGGAAGACTCAATAATTATGAAAATAAATAATTCTCCCCTGTAATAGAAGAAACTCGCTATTAAATTTTTAGAAGTTCCTTACTATATTCTAAATTTATTAGAATTTGGCTAGTAGGATAATAGTAATAAAATATTCCACAATAAAGAGAATTATGCTATTGTCAGATTAATCAAAAATGAAAGAAATTGTCAAATTTTTATGTTGTTAAATCAAATAATCGCACATTTATTTTCAATATGAATTATTGCTTTTGTAATCCTTTTCGACAAAATTGAAATAATATGTGAAAATATGTAGATTGAATAAAAATGTTTAAAAATAATGATTCCTTCTTTTTATACTTATAGTTAATCTGATTAATTAATCCGACTAACTTGATTTCTGAAAAATAATATCATTTACTTAAACACTCCAATTTTAATTTTCGATTATAATTTGTATATAGAAACTAGGCTAAATGTTGATTGATTAGTAGCTTTTGTATATTTAGTGAAATTATCTTTAGTTTGAGCATTCCCTTTTCTAAATATGTTAATTTGTTAACATTAATTTTCTAAGCAGCCTTTTGAATTATTTCTCATGATAATTACTCTAAGACCAATAACATAGTTTAGAAAAATAATTATTTCAATTTTTCTTGTTTAAATTTTAAATGAAGACCATCAGTCTTTCACTTAAGTAATAGAAATTTAAAATTGTCTCTATTATTATTAGTTTAGATATTTGTTTTGAAGCAGTAACAAAATAATTAATAATTAATCTGAGATCTTTTTTGACTATTGTTTATTCTGGAAATTTGTAATTTCATTCATTAAGTTTTCCTGTTGGTTCTCATTATGCATTTTATAATTCATATTTCCAAAAAAGTAAGCAATCATATTTGATCAACAGCCATAATGACCTTCTCATAATTATCTTGTTGAAAGATATACTTTTACCAAATCTATACCTGATAAACCACATGTTAAACCTGATTCATTTAAATAGAGATCAATAAGGAAAGGAATTCATATTGAATCAGGCTTAAATGAAATCGTCACTTACCTACTTATTTAATTCTAAAGGAATGTCAATCAATTTTAGTAGTAGTTTTTTTTAATATTTCTTGTTAAGTTATTATATAATTGACCAATTTGATTATGGTTATTTAAATCAGCTTATTGAATCAAATTGATGTAGTCAATATACTGCTAGACATTAATGAGCAATATTACAACTTAAGGAAAAAAAAATGAATTATTTGACCCTTGAAATTTTAGAATAAATAATCATTTATCGATTTTTAGTTGAATAGTTTGCGTTATAGCCTCAAAATTGACAGTCAATTAAATTGTAAGCCAAAAATAAATTTTTTAAATTGTTGATGTTGATTTCCTCTATTTTTGTTTAACAAGATTCAAGTTTGCAATTATATATTACAATATATTATTGAATATTAATTTAAGATATCATTTCATTTATTTGAATAAATTTAGAAACAATAATAATGTACTATTCCCCTTTACATTGTCGGTTATATCCCCTGCTAAACACCTAATTTCACTTCTTATTTAATTGACTATTACATCTCGTATTATATTTCCTAAAAAATCGGTGAAAACGTTTCCTATTTAATTGTTAATTCATTGGCTATATAATCCCATATTTCATCGCTTAATTTATTACAGATTTCATCATTTATCTATAAATATTTCATAGCCCATCTTATTGCCTATTATATTGCAGATTTCATTGTGTATTTAATTTAATCTCCTATTTTAACAATTATTTTATTGCAGATTTCATCGCTTATTTCATAGCTTATTCCATCACCTTTTCCATCACCAATTTCATCTCATATATCATCGCCTATTTCATTGAATATTCTATCAATTATTCATTCTCCTCTTTTCATCGCCTATTTAGTCGGCTATTTCATTGTCAATTTCATCGTCAATTTCATCACCAATTTTATAGACTATTTCACCGCATATTTCATTGCCTATTTCATCGCTAAATAGGGATTCCAAAATAGGGGTTCTTCAAAATTGTAAATTTTGTAAACTCCCCGACCTTATTACTCTCGTCAGGTAGGTAGTATTATGTTTTAGCAACCTGTAATTATTTGTTTCACTAAAAATGTGCAAGATGCATTTTTGATTCATAGTATAAAACTCAAAGTAATAAAAGTAATAGAAATTCAATATTATTTTAAACAAATATAAATTGCTCTCATCATATTCAAAATCAAGTATTGATGAATGTGTTTAGCTCCTCATAAGTGTTAGCTTGAAAGAAAGCTTTGTGTTGAATGTTTATACGAACATGAGGTGGAAAAAAAAGACTTTGTTCCTCTCAAGACATTTCAAGAGAAGGTTGAGAAGATATAAAAGGAATCTAAGCTTAATGATTAATCTGAAATAAAAAAATAGAGAAAGAATTATAAATCAATGCTTTCTTCTATTCAAAGCATGTTAAAATAAATTTGGGATGAATTAGCAAAATAAATAAATTAGCTCTATGATTTGATTGAGATGAAAGATAAATCATATTTGAATTAATTTAACAACAATGTGAATCCTATAGAATTACCCAATACTGAATTAGAAAAATTAGTCTAAAATATTATCGGAAAACAATTAGATGATTGGAATATATAGAAAAATTCTTAATTGAAGAGGTTGGAAATGACAAAGTAATATTGGGAAAAGGAAACTAAGCTTTTTTGTGAAAAATTGAATAA